TTTTTTTTTTTTAAAGATGGAGTTTCACCATTATGGCCAGGCTGATCTTGAACTCCTGACCTCAGGTGATCCACCCATCTCGGCCTCCCAAAGTGCTAGGATTACAGGCATGAGCCACCACGCCCGGCTAAATGTCTTATAACAAAGTATGAATGTAAAATGTTTGCAGAATTCAGATGAACTTAGAAATTTTAACACTACTGCCAGACAGTTCACACTACTTCTCCTGACTGTTCCAGGCGGTACTGTGAACTCAGCAAATAGGGACACTTCAGTGGAGGTTTGAGAAGCACTCCTTCCTTAGAGCAACTTTGCCTCCTTTGCATGTAGGCTGTTTGCCATCGGCTCTCAACTGTCTCCTGAACAGGGAAGCTCAGGCATTGAGATGCTGGAGACAGATACTTTCAAATTGCACTGCTACCAGACACTGACAGGTATGCATCTCCAGGTAGGCCAGAGGAATGTGATGGAGAAGAAACACTCACAGGTATGCATCTCCAGGAGGCCAGAGGAGTGTGATGGAGAAGGTTGGGGGAAGGGATTGACCAAAGACACCTTTGGTAAGCAAGAAGAGGGGGTGTGTTGGTTTTTTTTTGAGATGGAGTTTCACTCTGCCACCCCAGGCTGGAGTGTACTGGCGTGATCTTGGCTCACTGCAGCCTCCACCTCCTGGGTTCAAGTGATTGTCCTGCCTCAGCCTCCCGAGTAGCAACAAGTGCCTGCCACCATACCCAGCTAATTTTTTGTGTTTTTAATAGAACTGGGTTTCACCATGTTGACCAGGCTGGTCTCAAACTCCTGACATCAGGTAATCCACCTGCCTTGGCCTTCCAAAGTGCTGGGATTACAGATGTGAGCCACTGTGCCTGGTCTTCCTGGCACAATTCTACAGACACATCTGTTTATGTGTTTTGTGAATCCAAAGCCAATATTTAATCTGAAACCGATTTTGTCCATGCCACCCAGCATGTTCAGCACAGGTTATCTTGTGTTCAGATAAAACTTAGCTTAATGCTGTTTTCTGTTGCATTTACTTTGGAAGGTGTTAAGTGTTTTTCCACAATGAAATTTGAAAGCCAAATGGATATGACCTTTGGATTGCGAGTGTCATTGCTTCACCCCCTTAATTTATTGAAAACTGCCTGAGTTTGTCCCCTGCCTGGCAATGTTTCTGCTGAGGGACTCCAAAACAGTTAGTAACTGGCAGAGCTAGAACTCAAAGCCTGGTCTTAATCAGCTGGGCAACATAATAAAGTCACTTTACTTCTCTGGTCTCATCTGTAGATTCAAAGTCTTGCCTTTCCTGCATTATGTGGTAAAAGAATAAAATTAAAATGGGCTTATGAAAGTGTTTTGCAAAATTGAAAGTGCTGTACGAATACAGGATGACACTTTTGCTCCAGTGTCTACCCTTTGGTAACCATTCTTGGTCTCTCTCCAGGGATCAAATTTGTGGTTCTAGCAGATCCTAGGCAAGCTGGAATAGATTCTCTTCTCCGAAAGATTTATGAGATTTACTCAGACTTTGCCCTCAAGAATCCATTCTACTCCTTAGAAATGCCCATCAGGTAAGTGGCCCCACTTCCCAGATACTGGTTAAAGCCTCCTTGCCCCTCCTTGTGTGCTCTGCCCAAAGTCATTTGAAGCATAGCAGAGTATTACTTTTAAGTAAGACGGGAGGACAGGCTGGTGGCTCACACCTGTAATCCCAGCACTTTGGGAGACAGGGGGTAGGATCCCTTGAGCCCAGGAGTTTGAGATCAGCCTGGACAACATAGACCCATCTTTACCAAAAAAATAAATAAATAAATAAATAAATTTAGCCTGGTGTGGTGGCAGACACCAGCTGTTCAGAAAGCCGAGGTGGGAGGATTGCGTGAACCCGAAGCTCAAAGCAGCATTGAGCCATGCTGGTGCCACTGCATTCCAGCCTGGGCAACAGAACAAGACCATGTCTCTAAATAAGTAAGACAATAGTCGCTGGGTGTGGTGGCTCATGCCTGTAATCCCAGCACTTTGGGAGGCTGAGGCAGGCAAATCACCTGAGGTCAAGAGTTCAAGACCAGCCTGGCCAATATGGCAAAACCTGGTCTCTACTAAATATACAAAAACTAGCTGGGCGTGGTGGTGCACACCTGTAATCCCAGCTACTCAGGAGGCTGAGGTATTGCTTGAACCTGGGTGGCAGAGGTTGCAGTGAGCCAAGATCATGCCACTGCATTCCAGCCTTGGTGACAGAGTGAAACTCTGTCAAATAAATAAGACAACAGTGACTAGCCCTTTATTTGAGAAAACAGATTTTCCTTCGGGTTTATGGTTTTGTTGTGTTTTGAGATAGAGTTTCACTCTTGTCATCCAGGCTGGAGTGCAATGGCATGATCTCTTGGCTCACTGCAACCTCTACCTCCTGGGTTCGAGCAATTCTTCTGTCTCAGCCTCCCAAGTAGCTGGGATTACAGGCACCTGCACTATTCCTGGCTAATTTTTGTATTTTTAATAGAGACAGGTTAGGGTTAGGGGTTTCACCATGTTGGCCAGGCTGGTCTCGAACTCCTGACCTCAGATGATTCGCCGACCTCCACCTCCCATGATTTATGTCTGTCTTCAAGCAGTTTACCCTGGCTTAAGTAGGGAGAAACCTCAGGCTTCATGTTTTTTTTTTTTACCCACCTTGGGCCTGGCTTAGGTGTGAGCTATTTGACCAGAATTTGAAGCTAGCCCTGGAGGTGGCAGAGAAGGCTGGAACTTTTGGACCTGGGTCATAGGCTGAACCTGCGATGGACCCCCACATTCTGAGAGTTCCCGCAACAGGAATACTGCTTCCACTCCGGTGGAGATTCCAGCAGCCTTGTTAGTGCACTTGAAAATGGGAAAATGCTGACCCTGATGACATGTGCTGATTCCTGAGCCTTAACACTGTGCTCTTTCCTTCTGTATATATCGTGGTCTTATTTTCCAACTCTGTACAGATTTATTTATGGAGGAGAAAGGTCCATAAATGTTGTAATAAACATTCCTTTGATCTTGGTGTTTGCTATCTTAATCGATGGTTTTGGGGGAAAGGTACAGGAAGGGAGACAAAAATGGTTAGGGAATTCTGCAAAGATGATATTCTAGTAAAAAACCTAACAAATATGTGTTCATTAAGTAAATGAACATAAGACTTTGAAGTGTGTGCACTGGATCTAATCCCAGAATTGCTGCTAATTTCCTGGGGTCCTGGGGTGTTGGCAGCGGTGGTGGTGGTTGAAACATATATCAAGCATTTACAGCCAGGTATTCCTGCTTTATCTCACTTGATCTGCACCCTAACCCCAGGGGGTACATTCTTTTACAGACAAGAGATTTGCAGACTTTCTGCCTCAAAGTCTCCAAGCTAGTTACTGACAGCCAGGGTTTGAACCTAGGCTTTCTAACTACACACTCAATAAACCACTGTTACACTTCCTCCCTCCATCAAGTTGTTTAACCTGCCCACAACCCAATAGCTTTATCTCTGAAATAATCATTGAACTAGTCAATGTTCAGGTGAAGGCAGAGGAGGCTTGAGCCTTAAAGAAGTCCATCTACACTTCAGCTTCCCCATTCTAGGGAAAGACGCAGTCTCTCCCTTTGGGGTGGAAAGAGCAGGTATTGATAGTGTTTCCCAAGGAAGCTGTCTCGTTTTGAAAGAATCAGTCACCAACAGTGTTCAATATCAAATCTAGTTTTAATCTTCTATAACAAGTCATCCTTTCTTCCCACCCATACCCAACTGTGCCTTGGGTACTAGTGAGAGTGATGGCCTCCTCTCTTTCCCCGGAGTCTGAGGTATTGGCAATAGCAGTCACTCACTGCTGAGAGGACTTAGGGCCCAGCAGAAGTCAAGGGCCATTAGCGCCCTGCAGCTGCAGGGAGGGACAGCCGCACATCAAGTGGGGATGGAGTAGGATGGGGGCAGGACAGGACCTAGGAAAAGAAGGGTACAGGAGGCTTCCTGACTGCAGAAGTTTCCTGTTTGTCTGCAGGCTAGACATATGAGCAAATGGAGTCTAAGGCCAAACGTTATCTTTTAAATAGAGCATAGCATCAGGGAGCTGAGACCTCACTAGCCGCTGATAACTTCCAGCGCCACCTGGGTGAGGGAGAAGGCGCAGAAACAAAGTGAAAGGTTCAGGGCTAGCCAAGCAGGCCCCTCCTTTTCTCCCCCCACAAGGTGCAGGAGGAAGGCCACCATGGGATGGTGCTCCAGAACCTAGACTCTGTTCACTCAGCCTTCTTGGACACTTGGCCCATCTTGGTGCGGATGTTTCGTAGGAGGAAGAAGGCAGCTGTGCTGGCTGCACAAATCACTTCAGCCACCCAGAAGGCTGTGCTCCAACTGTAGTGCTTGGCAATGGTGCTGAAGGGCAGCCCGGCCAGAAAGCCGCCCACTGTCAGGGGGAAGGGGAAGATGCTAAGCCACTGGTGCTAGCTCCAGCTTCTCACTGGCCTATATGCAAAGCACAGGTGGGGGTGAGAGAGACTCTAGAAGGTAACACTTACCATTGGCCATGAGTCCCACAATGGCATGAGAGGTGCCACACAAGTTGGAAGGGGCACTCTCGTTGGCTATGACTCCAAACAGGGCAATGGGACCATACGAGGAGAAACCAAATATAGCTCCCAGTACCAGGATCCAGAGCTGCAAGGGCAGAATGGAGTGGCACTCAGAGTCGGAAAGCCTACCTGTCTGCCCACCCCTGCCAGGGCAAGGAAGGCTTGGTCCCCAGGAACAAACAGCTGTAAAGGGACAGTAACTAAGTGACCCTCCTCCCCCCACTCCCCAACACAATTGACAGTACAGAGCTAGAGTAGATGCCATATTGAGCCAACCCAGGGATCTAGGTGGGCAGGGAAAGGAGGTACAGAAGTCATCCCTGAGTTGGAGGCTGTGCTCAGGATTTACACAAGCTGGACAGGCTAGGGGTGTGGCAGAGGGGTAGGACAAAGGTGAGACAGACCAGGAGAAAAACCAGAGATATCTTTAAGGCACCTCGCGCTCCGTAAAGCCTGTGAGCTCCGAGAGAGGGTGAAGAGCCAGAGTCCAGAAAGCAACATCCTAGTGGAGCACAGGGAAGAAAAGAAAACCAAGCCCAGAGTGGAGGAGGAGAACCCAGATACAGAGAGAGCAGTCCAATCAGAACTGAAAAGGGAATCTGAGAGGCAGAGAAAAAACTGGCCCAGGCTAGAGCCAGGAGAGGGAGACAGACTCAGTGGCCCTTGCTTTCTCTCCTTGGGCCCTACCATGAGCCAGGCCGTTAATTACCTTGGGGGAGTCACTGGTCACTGTTACCCGGAAGAGGTACATGGACACTGTCATGCCAGCCATCATGAATAGCAACAGGCCATGGCGAGGGTTCCCGTAGATGGACAGTCCCGCCTATGGATGCAGTCCCGGCAATGTCAGGCTCTCAGAACAGGGCAGAGAACCCCCACCCCTGGACTCTGACACAGCAGGGCCTCTGCTGACAGGTCTTTGGCAATCCCACCACAGTTCTTGGCCCTGGGCAGCTCTGGGAGGCCCTGCGACCTGCTCATTACATTCTGAGGCCAAACTCCACAACATCCCTTCCTCCCGCTTGGGGCAGGACCAGGACACGTGCTGGGGAATGCCCCTAGTCTGTTCCTAACCCATTTTCCTGGGGCTGTGGAGAAGCCTACTTAGCCTTTCTAAGCTAGGCTAAGAAATATTCTGGCTGTCCTTCACATCAGTTAAAACTCTCCCCAAGAGCCTTACCTCCACATCTCTAGGAAAGCTAAGAGCAGCCTGGAATCATTCCCTCTTCACCCGATCTAATCCAGCAGATGCCAACCTGCCTGTGCCCTGGGACTCCCTTCTCTCCAGTGCCTGTCCCAGCCATGCTGTGAAGACTGAAAGGGACCCTTCTCCTGTCCCTTCTGCCCACTCACCTTTGCCATGGCCCGGTCTGACAGGTAGCCAGCTGCGATGCTGCCTACAAGGCCCCCAACTTCCAGGGCACTCATGTAGGAGCTACCTGCAGTGGGGATTTGTGGGAAGAGGAAAGGGAAGGGTGGAAGGGTGTTACACATTGGGGTCATCCACAATGGCTTAAACCCGGAGAGGTACAGGGTCCCCACAGGTGACTGACTATAACTGCCTGAGTAGTGCCCAGCCTCAAGGGATGAATAAAGAGGATAAAGGGAAGCAAGGTCTGAATTTCCATCCCCTGCATTGGTTCCTGCTTCTTATGCCCACCCCGCCCCAGTGCCCATCTTACCTACAAGGACTGACTGTCCTTTCTCCTGGATAAGGAAGAACTGGCCCCAGTCAGTACAGCAGGTCTTTACTCCAAACACCACAAGGTAACCAGTAGAGAGCACCCACAGGTAAGGGGACAGCAGCAGCTCCTGTAGGGTGCCCTCCTCCTTCAAGGAGCCTGGAGGTGAGAAGAGGCCAGGTGTCAGGCTCTGCCCTTACTGCTCTCCCCATCCTGGGCCCCCACCATTCATTAACCAGCCACAGGGGCAGAGTCCATCTGCACAGCCAGGGTCAGTGTGAAGGATATTCCCTCACCCCTCTGCTCTCTCCCCGTCTCCACTGCAAGTTCAGTGAATGAAAGAGAAACAGGACCAGGGAGGATGGAGGAAGGCACCCAAGCCACTGAAGCTCATGATTCTATCTATCCAGGAGAGGGAAGTCTGTGCTGTTGTGAGGAAGAGCCAGAAAATAACATGAGTCATAGCACTTGTTGGCCCTGCCACTTGTCTGGTACTTAACCGCCTCTTGGGATGGAGTTTTGTTTACTCTCCACGTAGCCTCCATTACCACCCCTTCCCCCACATCCACTGGCTAGCAGAGAACCAGGCAAATGCCTAGTGTTCAACAAAAATCTGCCTGATGAATGAGTGCCCCAGTGGTCGTCTTGGGTGGGGGCTCACCCTTCTTGCCCTTAGAGGGCGTGGGGTCCAGGTTGCGGAGTCCAACATCAGCAGGTTCATTGTGGATGAGCAGGAGACAGAGGAAGGCGACAACCACACACAGTGCCCCAGACAGGGCCAGCGTGCTGCGCCAGCTGTAGCTCTGGGCGAGGATGGTTGCCAGGATAGGGCCCAGCCCTCCAGCCAGGTTCATGCTGGTTGATAGGATGGCCCACCAAGTGCCAAATTGAGATGGCTCAAACCACTGTGGGGCAGAGGGCGACAAAGTAGGTGTCTAGCCTACTGCCCATATTGAGGGTGGGGTCAGGTGGGGCAGCCCCAGAAGCTCACATTACAGGGAAGAGGGAAAGGACACTTCTGTTTGGCAGGGAAGTTCGCTCCTCTGCCACCTGATCCCACCACTCTCAGCCTCCTAAAATATCTTGACAAGCAGCAGGAGCTGGCCAGGAACTGCTCAGAACCTGCTATGGGTTGGGCGCTGAGGTGGTAGGTCAGAAGGGGTGCTCCCACATGCTCTTTAGGCATCCTCTATGACAATCCAAACAGGCTCTTTGGAAGCACTCACCTTCCGCAGGACCTTCCCACATGGCGGCCAGCCCAGCCCCTGGGCCAGGCCATTAAGGAACCAGAGAGCAGCAAAGACAGGTACTGTGGAGCTCCAGGAAAAGAATATGTTGACCAGGCCAACCAGGAGTAGTCCAGACGAGAAGAGCCAGCGAGCACTCATCTGGTCAGACAGCACCCCACTGACAAACTTGCTGATGGCATAGGCTGCCGACTGGCTGCTGGTGATGAGCCCTGCAGGGGAGGGGAGCAGAGCAGGGAACATTACACTGGGGGGTTAGAGACCAGGGGAGAAGCACAGGAGGGACGGAAGAAGGCATGGGGTCAGGTGTGGAGGGGTGCCCAGTGGGGTGGGACAGGTTACTTCCCAGAGGAACAGGAGGAGCCTGCGCTGCAATCTGACATTCATGGGCCCTACTACCTCAGCTACTCCTGCCTCACCATCAGCGCTAACCCCGGACTGACCCATGATTCTCAGCTGCAGGTGTCAGGGAACAAGCAGGGAGCAGGACATGGCAGCTCCGCCTCCCTGGGATTTGCATATGCCTGATTTCCCACCTTACCCTGGATGCCAACCCCCCAGCCTCTAGCAGTTCTGTTGCTCTTGCACTCAACATGGGGTGAAGGGCTCAGGACTGGAGTCAGGGACCTTGTCCCTTCTGAAGGGTAGCATGCCAGGCCACATAAAGTCATTGTGCCAGCTTTTTAGTTCCCAGTGCTCACAGTGTCAGTAGCCAGCACTCACCCTGAAGCCTCCACATGCACCCACACAGGTGTGAAAACCATGCTCAGAAGCCCCTCAAACACTCTCGGAATAAACAGTGCCTCCAGGGGCATGCACACACACATTCACACATATCAGGTAAGCAGCCCTCCTTAGCCCCACACGCACCCATGTCCATGGGTCTCAGAGCCTACTCATCTGGCACATGTAGACTGGCCCCTGGCCTCTACTGCACAGACACTCCACCCACAAGACATGCCCATACACAAACACCCAGTATGTCCTGCTGTTCTGTGTCCCCAGGCCCACCACCCTGCCGTTTCAGGGCTCACCCAAATCATCCTTGTCCAAAGAGATCTCTTCCACCAATGATGGCATGACAAAGGAGAAGGTCTTGCGATTGAAGTAATACAGGCTGTAGCCCCCAAACATGGCTGAGAAGATCACAGTACGATAATAGCCATACCCCTGGGCTGCCATGGTAGAAAAGAGCAGGCCCTACCAACCAGGACACACAGCCTCTGACCACAGTTCCTGCTTGCCGCTCTCACGGTTCCCAGATCTGCTGAGTTGGGTTTTTTCTGCTCCCTCCTCCACACAGCCTCCCAGGCTCCCTTTATAGCCACCTTCTGGACAATCATTAAGCCTGGGGCAGCTCCAAGGGGACCCAGTGTCCTAAGGGAGACAGAGAACACAGATTACTGAGCACCAAACTGTAGGGGGTGGAGGAGGTCCCAGAAGCAGGCATGCTTTTGAGCCAGGCCAGCACCCTGTGTCCCCAGGATTTCTGCCTTTACCTCCTCTGTCATGTCTGCTTGCCTGTGAAACCAGCTTTGATTAAAGGTTCAACCTAATTACTTTTGTCTGCATGAGCCCAGGGGAGGAAGGGGTGGGATGAGCAGAAAAGTCCTCTCTAGCCCTGCTTCCTCAGTCACAGAACCTTCTCTATTCATTCACGGAAGACTTATTAACTTACTAGCGGACAGGTACTGCAGTTGGCACTAGGTTAGTTTCTACACGCACTCCACCACCCCACCAAAACAAACTGTCATACAAATACCCCAGCTGTCTCACTTCTAAGCCTTCTAGAGCCGGCCTCAATCCCTGGAACTCTCAATCCTTAGCACATAATAGATATAACGGTTTCCTACAGTTGTCCCCTGTAATTGTAAGCAAGGGGGATCCCCCAGTTCGAGTCCCACGGTGTCACATGGAAAGTCCCGCTAAGGGCTGAGGTCCTGATGGGTCCCCATTACCCTGTTACGTCAGTCTGGGCTTCCTTCAGGCTGGCTGGGGGCTGCAGGGTCTGGTTTCCAACCTGGGGGACGCTGGCAGGGGCCGCAACCAGAGGGACTGGGCAGTCTGGGCGGGAAGGTGCCCCGGCAGGCGTCGGGCTGCAGTGCACAACCGTCCTGCCCAGGGTTCCGGCAACATGCCCCAGCTTTTCCGCTCAATTGGGAAAGCAAATGGAGCAGAAGGCGTAGGCACACGCGGAGCGGACGATCGCACGTATTCTCCTGGAGACCCCGTGCTCCTGGCACCCAGCGGCTCAGCCTGGTAGGGGAGGGCCAGGCAGCGGGAGGGGGAGGAGGAAAGGTGGCGGGCTCCTGGCACCTGCCCAGCCCAGGGTCTTCACGCTACCCTGGACACCCGATTGTGGGGCTGGGAACCACCGGGCCGACGTGCAGGAGCTGGAGAGGTGCGGAGACCACAGGACTGGAGCGATAGAAAGGGGTCGTGTGCTGGTCACCGGCAGCGCCTCGGTGGCCCCCAGACCCATGAATTGTCTCCGGAGCTGCAAGAACAGCTCCGGGTCTTACCGGAAGTTGGGGTTCGCCAACAACGGAGCCCCGGGACCTGAGAGCCCCCGCCCTTAGGTGATGCCCCTCCCCCGCAGGCCGCCCCCTACCTGAACAGAGGCAGGAGGCCGAGGAGGACGGGGCGGGGCCAGCGGGAGCTGCGCATGCGCGGCAGTCGGGGGCGTGGTCTTCGCCTGCATCTTCGCTTGCCGGCGAGGGCAGTTTGCAGCCCCACACCCCGGGGATGTAGCTTACTACCGCCGGTCACGTAGCTTACTCCCGCCGGTCACTTCGCTCCTTGGAAGAGCACAGCGCCCCTTAGGGGCTGAGCACGGCGTGTCCAATTCTTAAGTGGTTACGTTGAACAAAGCAGTTTTTAGTGAGTGCCTTCCTCTACAAAGCACACGGAACACGAAGGTAATAATCATTGTTCCCAAGTTGCTCACAGTCTAAGAAAGGTCTTGTAGGAGAACACAGTATTTTCTTTTCTTTCTTTTTTTTTTTTTTTTTTTTTAATAGACTGGGTTTCACCATGTTGGTCAGGCTGGTCTTGAACTCCCGACCTCAGGTGATCCGCCCGCCTTGGCCTCCAAAGTGCTTGGATTACAGGCGTGAGCCACCGCGCCCGGCCAGTATTTTCTTTAAGAAGAAATTACTGCAGTCTTCAGTAAGCACAATTTGGATTTTTTATTTTTTATTTATTTATTTTGAGATGGAGTATTGCTCTGTCGCCAGGCTGGAGTGCAGTGGCGCAATCTCGGTTCACTGTAACCTCCGCCTCCTGGGTTCAAGCGATTCTTCCGCCTCAGCTTCCCG